TTTTTACATATTTTTACAGTAATTTAAAAAATAACGGAAGTGACCTATCAGATTGAATTGCTATTGCAGTTTGTTTTAACTTAAGAGTCATATTTTTAGGTTCAATCAGTAATAATGTGTTAAGCTTCTTGTGACTATTTTGTTTTTTAGTTTTATAATATAGTTTAAAATCAGTAATTGTTCTTGTCTCAGCTTCATAGTATAGTTCAAATTACCAGAAGTGACAGATCTGACTAATGTTTTTATCATTTGAGGTTGTTTCCAGAATAATGTTACGTTGTTTAGTTCTTACTATTTTTTCTTCTTTTCTCAGTTTTATAGCATAGTCTATACCAGGACTGACCAATCATTTTCAGTGTTCGTCTTAAAGTTTGGTTTTAAGATGTTTTATGTACTACTCTTTTCTCAAGACTTGTTTCTTCCTGTCTTAGTTTCATCAAAACTAGAAGTGACTGATCAGACTAAGTTATTATTTGAGGTTGGTTTTCGAAACGATGTTTTATGTTTCACTGACTATTAGCTATTTGTTTTTCCTTTTCTTAGTTTCGTAGTACAGTCTATACCAGGAGGGACTGATTAGACTCAATTTCACCATTTAAGTCTGTTTTCAAATGTTTTATGCTCTCATTTAGTAGTATTTGCTCTGTTCTGTTTTCTCAGTTTTATAGTATAGTGTAAACACTAAAAGTGACATGAAATTGAGTTCTTAAAATCCGAGGTTAATTCTGAAATAATTTTTTAGTTTGTACGAATTATTTTTTGATCTTAGTTTCATAGTATTGTTTCACTTACCAGAAGTGACCAGACTGATTTATCAATTAGAATTTGCTTTAAAAGATGCTTACTATTACTTTTTTCTTCAGTTTCATAGTATAGTTTAAATTAACAAAAATGACAAAACAGACTGAGTTTTGCAACATCTGAGGTTGTTTAAAATATATTGTTTTTCTTAAGTCTTACATTTCTTTCTCAGTTTTATGGTATATTTTCTACCAAAAGTGACTGATCAAACTCTGTCATTTGGGTTTGGTTTTAGAAAGTTTTATGTATTAGTCTTATCTCAGTATTTAGTAATTTGCTGAGATTGATATAGTTTAATATACCACAAGTGACTTATCAGACTGAGTTATCATTTAAGGTTGGTTTTTGAAATATTTCCTATTTTACTAACTTTTTACGCTTTTTTACTTTTCTTAGTTTGATAGCATAGTTTATACCAAGAGACTGGTTAGACTGAGTTTTTATGAAATAAGTTTGGTCTAAAAATGATGTTTAATGTAGCACTTATTTGTCACTATTTGTCTTCTTTGTAATTTTTATTAAAATAGTTCATACAAAGAGTGTCTGATCAGACTTTTTATTGTTTAAGTTTTGTTTTAATATGATGCTTCATGTACTACTGATTTCTCAGAATTTGTTCTTAGTATAGTTGAAAATACAAAAAGTGACTGATCAAATGAGGTCTTATAATTTGACTTTGGTTTTAAAATGTTTTATGTACAATTTAGTACTCAATTTTGTTCCTCGGTTTCATAATATTGTTTAAAATATTAGAATCAACAGATTAGACTGAGTTCTTTTATTTAGTAATAAATTCTGAATCAATGATGTTAAGTTTTTACTATTTTGTTTTTTGGTTTCATTTATATTATAGTTTAAAATACCAGAAGTGACTGATCAGACTGAGTTCTTATGATTTGAATTTGGTTTTTAAATATCATGTTCTACAGATTACATGGACTTATTGCAAGTACTATTACTATGTTTTTTTCCGTCATTCAGTTTAGTTTAAAATACCAGAAGTGACAGAATGGACTGATTTGAAGTTGTGTTGTTTGTTTCAGTCCTTACTATTCGTTTTTTGTTTTCTCAGATTCATAGTATAGTCAACTTTATTTAAAAAGAATTGATCAGACTGAGTTCTTAAAAGTAATTGTAAAATAATGTTTTGCGTTTTACAGGTTTTACACTGTTTGTTTCTTAGTTTTATAGTATGTTTATACCCACTGATCAGACCCATTAGTTATTTTTTAAGTTTCACTTTGAAATGATGTGTCATGTACTACTCTTTTTAGTATTATTTTCCTTTCTTTTTTATACTATAATAGTACAAGAAAGACTGATTATTGTGTTTAAACCAAGTTCTTATCATTTAAGGTTGGTTTTGAAATATGATTTGTTCTCACTACTCACTATTTAACATGAGAAGTGACTGATCAGATTGAGTTTTATCATTTGTGACTAATGATTTTGAGTTTCTTTAGTTGAAATTGGTTTTTCAATAATGTTTTATGCACTAGCAACTGCTAAGTATTTGTTTCTTCCTTTCTCAGCTTCGTAGCATAGTTTAAAGCACAAGAAGTTGTATTTCTTTAAATGTAAGGGAAAATTTTACTATCCACCGTAAGGTACCGTTTGTCAATTATGGCTTTATTTTAAAAAAGAACCTTAATTTTATTAGAACTTAGTTTGCAGATTCTTTCATATCTGGCATTTCAAACTTAACTGTGAAACTGAAGAATGAAGATTCAAAGGCTAAAAAATTAGTAGTACAGGAAACATCATTTTAAACCCAAATTTAATTAAGAATTCAGTCAGATCAATCACTTCCGGCATACTATGAAACAGAAAAGAAGAACTCAGACTAACATGCAATATAAGTTCAAATTTAATCTTAATTGATAAGAACTTAGTCAGCACTGTCACTTCTGGTATTTTAAACTGTACTACAAACAGACAAATTGAAAGACAAATACCAAGAAATGAGTGGTACATCAAACATCATTAAGAAACCAATTTTAACGAATAAGAATTTAGTCAGATCAGTACTGAGCACAACAAACATCACTTTAAGGCCATACAGTAACTAATCGTATGTACCATACAAAGAAACTGAAAAAAACAAATAGTGCTAAGTGAGTAGTAGATAAAACTCGACTACAAAACCTAGTTCAAATGATAAGAAGTTAGTCTAATCAGTCACTTCTGGTGTTAAACTATAGTATGAAACTGAGAAATGAAGAGAGTAAGAATTTACATTTTTTCAAAGTCAACCTGAAATAATAAAAACTTAGTCTGATCAGTCACTTATGGTATTTTAAACTAAACTACAAAACTGGGAATAAAAATGAAATACCTGTAAGTGATACATAAAGATAACTTTATAACTAAACTTAAATGATATAAACTGAGTCTAATCAGTCTTTTTTGGTATAAACTATCCAATAAAACAGAAAAAACCAACATTAAGAAAAATGTTGTACAAGAAAAACGTCACTTTTTGTAGTTTAAAATACACTTTAAAATGAGTGATTAGTGTCCTAGAGTGTTTAAACAATGCCATGAAACTATATGAAAAAAACCAACATTCAGAAATGAGTAGTACAAGAAACATCATTACTTCTGGTGTTCTAAACTTTTTACCATTATAAGTTTTGCTTTAAAATGTTTCGTGTACTAGTTTTTTGACATTGGTTTGTTCTTTTCTCATTTCATTAAATATGGTAAATTGCATGAAGTGGCAGACGAGACTGAGTAATGATCTTTGAAAGTTGGTTTTAAAATGTTTTATGTGCTACTGATTTTTCACTATCTCTCTTCTTTTTCCACTTTTAATGTAAAGTTCATATCAGAAGTGACAGATGAGACTGAGTTTTATCATTCAAATTAGGTTTAAAGAAAATGATATTTCAGGTATTTCTTAATCTAAATGTATAATTTAAAATACCAGAAGTTACTGATCAGACTGAGTTTTTATCATTTCATTTTGGTACTAAAATACCTCATGTACAACTGAATTCTCACAATTTGTTTCTTCTTATATTCTTTTTGTTTCTTCTTTTAAAGCAAAGGTTGAGGCAGTGAGAGAAGACAGATGGTGTCAGTGAGAGAAGACAGATGGTGTCAGTGAGAGCAGGGAGATAGTGTGGCAATAATAACAGGGAGATTGTGTGGCCACGAGAGCAGGGAGATAGTGAAGTAGATGGTAAAGCAGGCAAATGATGTGGCAATGAGAGCAGGGAGATGGTGAGACCCTAAAAGCAAAAAGTTGATGCAACAGTGAGAGCAGGAAGATGTTGTGGAAGTTAGAGCAGGGAAATGTTGCAGTTAGAGCAGGAAGGTGGTGTGGCCATGAGATGATATGGTAATGAGAGCAGGGAATGGTGCGGCAGTGCACTATAACAGGGAGATTGTGTGACAGTTGAGCAGAGAGTTGGTGTTTCAGTGGGAGCAGGGACATGTTGAGGCACATAGAGCAGAGAGTGTTGTATGTTTGTGTACATGTAATTACATTATTATTAGTTATATTATTGTTGGTCTAGTATTACCTAATAATGTCCTGTTTGGTCGTGTTCCTTCTAAAACTCTCTTTTTTTAGAACTTTCTATTGAGTATGTACCGTAAATGTTCAAATAAAAGCCCGGGCGCTTATTTCTTTACAGGACAAAAAATGCCTAAAGAAAAGAAAAATTAAAACTGGCATTCGAACCAGATTCAATGCACTGAGCTCAAAAAGTTAGTCCATTTTGGGCACTCTAAAGATTGTGGGACTTATATTGAATAAAATGAGTGTTCATAGTTGAAGATTCTTAGTATTAGGCGTTTATTCAAGCCGGCCTTTATTGGAAATTTACTGTACTCTATTCTAGAAGATTCTAATGTATTTAAGGAAGTGATTTTGTAACATTTGGTTTGGTTGTTGATTGTTCAGTTGTCAGTTGCTTGGATCATATATTTAAGTTGTTAATCATTAATTGATTAATCGTCATTAATTAGGTTATGATCCCAGCCTTTGTCTAAAATGGCGGAGTCAAAGTTTGTCACGATAGTTCCTTTTAATGGTTCTGATGATTCAACATGGAAGCTACAGTGTCAAATGACATCAATGAAAAAGAATCTATTTGGAATAATCAATGGAACAGAGAAAGCCCTTTATGGAGACGGTGCTGCTAAGTTCCAGACGCGAAAGGATCGAGCCTTGGCCACAATAATTCTCTTGATTGATCTGTCGCTATTATATTTCTGTCACTATTATATTTCTGTTGCTATTATA